CAGAGTTTGTAGATGGCTTACATGGTTATGAATAAAGTAACAATGCTATACAGTTTGTAAAATTTATATATAGGACTATTCGTACATGTTAAATAATGAATATAACGTTTCCATCGAATACGAAAAAGCAATTATCAATGATTCCAAGAGAAGGGTTTTCTGAATTAAGTGAGGCGTTTCAAGCCCTTCTAGATCTGAACAAGGTATATTTTTAATAGCTCAACTGAAAGCAATGAATGGTGAAGAAATAACGGCTAGTCGACGTCTTAAAAAAGAAAACGCGCACTAATAAACGAACGGTTTACTACTGAATTACAATACGCCACTCTGTCAGAAAACGTATCTCAATATGTTACGAATTGGTCGCACGCACTTCGAAAATACTTGGCCTCGAATGGTATAATACCGCGCGTTCATGGTAACATAAAACGAATGCCACGATGGAAAACCAAATTCACCATTGTTATAACCGCTGCTACTACCGTGAAGAATTTTGAAATTCATGGATTACCAAGTCCTGGTATGTCAATCGCATTACTCAATCGCTTACGCTTTTACCAGCTGAAACGAGTTGCAAATCGGTCTACCGTGATTTTATTGCGGGTCTCGAAAATGATAGCGCATTGAGATACGATGCATTTCGCAAGCTATGGCATCAACTAACGCCTTATATTCAATTATTATTACGAGTCCACGAACGAATTTATGTGACACGTGCCAACATTTTCGAAACGGCTTACAATATAATGCTCGTAAGGAAGAAGAAGCGAAAGATTTACTGAAAAAATTCAAAGAACATCTAGTTAAAGCTAAATTAGAGAGAAATTATTACAACAAAAATACGAAATTAGCGGAACAACAGTGGAAATTAGTATTAGTAGACGAGAATTATCTTGTGACGGAAGGGAAAGCCAATTTTTGTAGTTTTGACGCGACTGCTCATTACAGTTACGACTGAGCACAAAATGTTCACGTTTATTTAACTGATTATGATGACATTTTGCTTTGCTTTGCTTTTTGGGCACATATCTGAAATTGATTATTAAGAAAAACATTCTAATTCAACATGATATGATTATGTATATGATAATATAATTGTGAAACCAATTCTACCACAGAACCAAAAAGTTGTTATTATCACTATCGGAAGTATTTTAAGAAAAAACAGGGTGGAAAGATTACACCTTATATTTTGAAACTAACAGAGACCAAGTCTTTGCAGGAAAGAAAAAAATTGGAAAAAAAAATTACCTACGAAAATTACAAAGAGGCGAGAGTTTTCAAAGTGTGCAAGAAAATACTATGATATAGATAATGAGTAACAATTAGTGTCAAAAGTTGTAGATGGATTAAAAAAAGCCGAGGATCAATGGCATGGGCCAAGGTAGTTGGCAGAAGATTCCATATTTTATGGGCGTAGGATATTAATGCGTTACTGTGTGCAGTGTGCATGTGACTATAGCAATATAGGACTATCGGACTACGGACGTCATATTAACCAATCATTCATTATTATTATATTCACTTATTATTATCATTCAGCTGTTTTTAATATTAAGAATTTATTTCGATTGAATCAAAGAATCAATACAGTACATGGATTATTTGAACATAGAAATCATAATGAAATTCTACTTCTCTCTTAATATTAAAATTGTTACAGTGCATATTATTACGTAAATACAATTGAGAAACATTGTTCCGAATTTCCGATGCGGCGTAGTTTCTAATCGTTCCCATGCACGTGTGAGAGAGAGAGACAGAGAGACAGAGAGACAGAGAGACAGAGAGACAGAGAGAGAGAGACAGAGAGAGAGAGACAGAGAGAGAGAGAGAGAGACAGAAAGAGAGAGACAGAGAGAGAGAGACAGAGAGAGAGCAGTTTTCTGTTTCAGACACTGGATAAACCAAAATCTGTTATCTTTGCAATCGCCTGATTGGCAAAGACATTCTGACGACGGCGGATAAACCAAAATCTGTTATCTTTGCAATTCCTGAATTGCAAAGATTTTTCTTTTCTTCTCCTCAAGTTCAGTTGAATGACAAGGTCCTAGCGGGGCTTCATTAACCACACCTTTCCTGGGAACTTAATTGACCTGGGAGGGGTTTCTTTTGCAACAGGGAAATTTACGATTTTAGATACTGAATCGCTAGAACTCGCTATTTCCTCAGGTAGGGACTTGCTAATAAGTAAGGACGAGATACCTTCAAATGCCAAAATCTGTTATCTTCGCAATCCCTTTTTGATAGCAGGGACTGCTGTTTGGTTTATGTATCGGCGCCAGTGTCTCTGAGCGTTTCTTCTTACAACAGATTCTTCAAAGTCTTCAATAGACACTATTGTGCAAGGTGTCGTCTCTTCTAGTTGTTTAAGAAATTGTTCGCAAGGAGGAACGCTGTGTTGAGATTGGTATTTACTGAGAGAGCTTTTTATGGAGAATAGATTCATCTTTAAGAGCGTAAGAGGGAAGAAAAAAATTTTTTTTTACATGATGACATGATCGACTATTTTATCAATTGTATCACGTGAACTTGAGTAACACACTATTATTATCGTTATCAGGACGGGACCACATGATTATGATAAGGCGCTTACATATTTTAAGAGTGGCAAATATTTACGTAACAAAAACAGTGGCACAAAGAAATGTACTATAGTTTTGGGTTCAGGACACGAATTATAATTCTGGACACCGACCGTTTTCCTGCTCTTCATCGTTATTGTGACAATCATAACAACATTCTAGAGGCAGATCTCTCGATCGCTTTCCTAGATAAGTAATACTGATTTCTGTGCCATCTTCAATCGCATAATAAATAACTTACATCTGCAATTACGTTCCAAAGATGTTTTGTAAATGCGCTTTCTAATTGACAGCCACTTATTCTGCGAACGTTGATTAACTAATTCGTATCGAATTTGTCATTATTTCATTAAATTAAGATAAAAGTCAGATGGTAATATTCAGAGACGGACTCTTTAAAGTATAATTATTCGGTGACTAGATTTTTGAAGCGAATACTTAAGTATTGGTATAGGCCACTAGAGACGAGAAGACGATATATGATTTTATTCAACAAACGTTTTTAATTATTAAATTAGTTACACTCTAGCTCGTTGAATCTAATTGTCAAGTGAGTCTAAACTTTTTGCAATTTTAAAAGTAAAGCATGGTACACTATTTGATAACAACTTGAACCTATATTCCTATGAATCTATGTTCAAATATTTTTGATGTTGATTACATTACACATGTTTGGCAGGGTTTTTAGTTGTCCAGCTAGCCATTAAAGATTTTGAATGTCATTGTCCGTTTGCTTTTGACACACTAATCTATATGGTATGTATATGTCCAACTTGTCTATTTTTAGAATAAAGAAGGAAATTGAACAGCATTCCGTTCGATTGTTCTTCAATTCATTAGTATTAGTTTTCTGTGCAAGTAAATGTTTACTATGCATCAGGTGTTTGCAGAATCTTGTAACCTTTGACAGAAAAGTTGCTACAAAAGAACAAATATGTGGTTTAGATTCAATTACTAACATGCTAATACAATGTACATTACAACAGCTACATATTATGTTAATCAGTGAAGGCTTCTTGATAACAGATGGATGTGATAGCAAATGCTAATTGCATGCAAAAGGTTCACGAAGCTTTCAGTGATACATTTTTCACACCTAGGCGTCATCACATTCACTGCTTCATATTCACTTGCGAATTTCAAACAGTTTTACTTTTTAGTTGACTACCATTTGTACATTTAATTTTACAAAACCCAAAATGGGACAATTTACAAAAAGTTGCTCGCGAATGATTCCCAAAACATTCACAAGCATCATCCTAACTATTCTTCCGCAACTCCCCAAAAATATCTACATAATCAACTTACACTATTCCAACAACGTCTCGAGTTTCACCAGGTTTCTCGTGAACGGCTGGTGGAGAATATGGTTCACTTTCACCCTTTTCTATTAATATATTGTGAACGAATGGAAGAGATCGTGAAGCTGGGGGACGGCCGAGCTCCATTATTAGATGATCCTGATAAAGTTTACAGAAATTAATTGTCGTTGATCGATGAATGGGTAATGTAAAACATATATTAAACTACTCACAGGTTGCCGAATGCACATTGTCCGTGAAGATTTGACAAACAGCCAAGTGATATCCCGACTGTTGTCTTCACTATTGAATCCGTTGATGAGTCTCTCTCGTTCGTTCGCCACCTGCAAAAATGCCGTTTGATCCGTATTGAGATTAACACATTCCCCATCTTCTCAGATCTCCTTTTACTTTATCTTGGGATGCGATGCTCACCTCATCTTTAGCCCGCAATATATAATTTATAAGCCAGATTATTGATAAAAGTATTATTATTGTCGATATTACCACGACAGCGTATCGTTCCCATCCGCCGTTTATCTGTGTCAAAACGATACAATCGATGATTCCTCCGAATATCATGATGCCAAGGACAAGAACTATTCTTGGTGCTCTCCTGCGTTGATAGTTTTCGTATGGGATGTTTAGCGAATGGATACGTGATTTAAAGTCTTCTAAATCAAACTTGAGTAAGGTACATAGAAAGATGACAAGAAAAGATTTAAGCATTGACAGGGGTTTAGCATCTGCGTGTGCGAAAAAGTCGCACTTTTGATCAAACTATTTAGCTATGTCTTCTGCTAGACTACATGTTATCACAACATTTCTCCATGTATCTTTAATACCTACGTAATCGGTTATCTCGGTCGGATAGTCGTCTTTAATTTTCCCTGACGTATCTGCTAGCCGAACTGTTTGCATATTTGTTTCTTGTAGATAGACGGGCCGGTGATGGGAATGGAATAGATGTTAGGGTGAACTTGACAGTTAGGAGCCGTGCGGTTGAAAGTTAGAATGAAGAAAGAATTTTTCGTTTAATGAACTTTTTCTAAGATAGGTTCTCGTGTCCTTATTCCCTAATTCACCAATGATACGATATGAGATAATAAGGTGCGTTTCACTGCGGTTATAAAGAATTTGTTTTTCCGTTTATACATTGGCGTATATATAATAATAACGACAACTTATCTGGTCTTTATTAGTCGATATAATACTAAGCCCATTCATTTATTCTTATTATTCCATCTCCGAAAAGGGGTCAATGACTGAACTATGCAGTTCGGAGTTCTACGACCGACTGTAACACGGTTTACACAGAAAGCGCATTGACGAGATAAAACAAATGAAAAGTGCATCACGTATTCAGTAACTAAGCAAGATAATTAATTATGAAGTAAATTCTCTCCGTTCGTGAAGTAATCATCATAAATAACACTAATTCGTCTTTCTTTGCATTCACTAACCGAATCCTTGTCTTTTTTATTACAAAGCGACGTAGTACTCGAGTCTGTGTGATTGATAAGCACCACCAATAGATTATCTACTCGGTTTACTAAATAAAGACACATTTTAATATATCCCGTGACCGTGTTTATGAGATCTGCAGGGTATCAGCAAGTTTACGAATTGGTCATACTTTATCTTTATCATTGCTCAGCCCCATAATAATAACCATTCTTGATAAGCCCTTCTAAAAAAAAAGGAAAAGGAAAATCTTCATTTGTACGAATAAGATTAAACTTAATTCAAGGAACATAGACCACAATGATCATGGAAGGATGTAAATTAGAAGCGATTTTTTATAGGATAAACAAATATTATTCGATGGAGTAAGCGGCTGAATAACCGGAATATCAGTTGCTTGTGATACAACCAAAGTATTAACTTGAAAGGTGGGGTATATACAAATATTAATGCAAACAAATGTGCTGTGTGATTTGAAAAAAAACCAAGTTTCATATGATATTTATTACGCCATTGTAATGACTTGCCTCAAAGAAGATCATAAATTGATAGCATTCTGTTGTCGATGCTTAATTAATATTTCTATTGCAATACATCTGTTATTACTATTTCAATATTGTACATTCGTTCTTTGCGTCAAGATTATCCAGACGAACATGTGTTTGGTATAGTCAACAAGCAAGTAAGTCTAATTTACCAAATTGAAAGCTCTAATGTTAAAATTATAATAGGGTAAGCAACAATTGTAAAATGACGTAATATCAAGTTATTTGACACCAGACGTCTGTTCTCAATAAATTAAATAATTCCGCTTTGAATATGCAATGTAAATAGCGCAAGACGAGTGTGATTTACTACATTGTCGAGACCGACTTGGTTCCAGACTGAGACAGACACGTCTCCGCTCCGGACCAAGCTCTATGTTTCAAATATTAGCTAAGCAACAATCAATAGCGAGCGAAACAATATCTTTTTTACATAAACAATACTGCAATTCATTTAAGGAAATGCCGATACATTACGGATGACAAATTTAACTTGTTAAAAAAAAATACTTACTAAATTAGACATAGTTTCAAGAAGCGGCCACAACTTAATTTTTTGGTTAAATCGAATCATAAATTTTGCAGCATAAAACAGGTATCGGTATTGGTTAATTAATAACAGAATCGCAAACAATTTATTTACACTATTTCTAATCAATTGTTCCTGCAGTTAGTACACATGTTACAAACAAACTGACTTGCAATGCAATGGGTTTAAGATTAACATGTTTGCAACAATGGTATAAAAATAAATGACCGACAAAATGCAACCATAAATAGAGTGATAATATTTAGGCAGTCATTGTTTGCATAGTAAACCGCTCGCTACAACATAGTATGGTTAGTCTAAAGCGTCTCTTACGGTCTATGTGTTTGCTCGATACAATGGAAGAATAATCCCGTAATGCCAAAGCCAAACATAAATCGCAATTCTTATCTATCAAATGTTGCGAAAAAGTATCGCAAATGACAGATGAAATTTTTTTAAGTGGCGAAGTGGTTCAAGAGCCAGAGAATATTAAAGAGTCAAACCCTTGAGGGGGAAATGCTTTACAAGAATTATTACTTAAAGTACCAACTCCAAAGCTAATTTGCCATTGGATGACGTAATTATTTTGATCTACTCTGCGGCATCAAAATTGTCCATATCCGAATGACACTAATTTTCGTTATCTGTTATAGGTAAAATTTATGTTACTTATTTAATTAATTTAATTAATACTTATTTTTAGTTCGTAGCCGATGAAGACATTCGAAACGTATAAACAACTGTAATTTCCCAGCAGACATTATCTTAATTACATCATAGTATTAATAGAGTTAAATTATTATAACTTAAGCATTAATTCTATTCTCCGATCATCATTGCGATAGAGCGTGATAAAAAAGGTTTAATTTCTCAACCTCGCTAAATAATAAATTTGTCCATAATACTAACAAACGCGTTCAACGTAATTACAAGTTATCAGTTTTTGCATGAGGTCGGCTTGATTATAATCTTGCAGACAACCGCGAGTATGGGCTGACGCTAACTTTTTGCTACTTTTGTACGCGTACCTTGTAAACTGAGACATTCATTCAAAAATTATCGACAAAAGAAAGAAAGCTAACAAAAACGCATAAGAAGCTGACCCTCGGAAAATCTGAATAGTCTATACATCAAATTCTTGCATCGTAAATCCGTTTTAAGGCAAAATTGCGGCAATGTTTTTACCCTCATAAGGGTTGGCGACCCGCTATAAATCAAAGCGTTTCAGTTATCCCTAAAATTTCCAAAAAATTTTTCTATATATAAAGCAGTACATGTATGAAAATTTACGACTCGCTTGCCTTTATGGGTTAACTTTTGATGTTGAAACGAGTGCACAACTGATCACATGAATGACGACAACATTTGACATGTGTCAACTATTCCAAGAAAAACGTCTTTTTCTATGTCGGTGTCAATACCGCGGGAATCTTCACACAACACACAAACGTGTCCGCGTCAATTCAAACCACTAGACAGTGCACGGAATATTTATTTACATAACAAGTACATGAACATTTTGGGCTCAGTCGTAACTGTAATGGGCAACTGCGTCAATGCTGCAGTATGGTATCCCGTCTTTTTTAAAGAATAATTTTGCTCGACGAGTTTTCTCTGTTCTTCCGCCAACTTGGTATTTTTGTTATAATAGTTTGGCTTTGGCTACATGCTCTTTGTATTTCTTTAATAGGTCTTGGGCCTCTTCCTCTTTACGGGCTTTGAATTGCAAGTCATTCCGTAACTGTTGACAGATATCGCATAGATCGGTTCGGGGACTCATGATTTGAATGTATGGGGTAAGCTGATGCCATAATTTGCGGAACGCATCATATTTGAGGGCACATAATTTACTATCTTCTTCTAGACCAACCAAAAAGTCACGGTGAACGGACTTATAACTCATTTCCGCCGGTAGAAAGATAATGGATTGGGTAACGCGACTTACATTTCTAACTGGGCTGGGTAAGCCATGAACTTCAGCATAATTTAGCAAAAAATTCTTGACCGTGGTAGCCACATCAATATTGATGACCATCCTGCTTTTCACCGTGGCATTCTTTTTACATTATCATGGACCCGTGGCAGAAGACCATTCTTTAGCAGATGATTTCTGATATTTTCAAAGTAATTGCGGCCAATGCCAAGCATATTGAGGTAAGTTTTTGACAAATAGGGGTATTACGATTTCAGCAGTAGACAGTTCTCTTGTTAACGCGAGTCTTGTTCTTGAGACGCGACTAATACTGATCGCTCCCCCATCCATGGATCTGAGTTGAGCCATTAAGAAAATATCTTGTTCAGGTTTTGTTAGCGCTTGAAAGTCTTCTCGCAATCCAGCAAATTTTTCCTTGGGCATTTTGGCCAAGCAACCGCAATCACAGCCTAGTTTCTAAAAATTGCAGAGCTTTCTCGTATTCGTTCATAATTGTGTCGTTACCATATATATTATGCACAGTTTGTCTGGTTTTGTAAAATTTTGATAATATCGTGTATTTATTGCGTATTGTACATAGGGGTATCTGTATACTGTATACTGTATATATAAATTGAAATATATAAAACTTATCTATATTAGATTTACTATGGAGCCAAAACTTTACGTTCTCTTTTGAAGCAAGAGCAGGGCGAAAATATTGCTCCTTATATTTTCAAACTAAGAAGCACGCAGTCTATTAAAGAATATTTGGACCAAGAAATGATAATTTATGATATTTACCCAGAGGAACGGTCAGAAAAAACTCTTAAACGGACGTTGGAGAAGCCATTTCGAGAATCAAGAAAAAAAAAGAAAAATAGAGGAATTATAGGTAGCTGTTTTGATCTGTTGCATACAGAAGTAACCCCATATACTTAATCAGTAAAATCCCTTTTAGATAGGCCATCTCGAGAAAAATCTATAAATATAAACCGTCATATTAATGTACGAAATCCGTCCAGTCGGGATTTGATCACGATAGCTCAGTTAATTGTATTAGTTCAGTTTCGAATTTATTGCACGGATATGATTAAACGTTCTCTCTGCAGCAACCATACCAAGCGACTAAACACATCATCCACCATTTTTCCCCAGCCTTCCCCCGCCCATATACAATTTCCGGCGTCACTTTCGCCATTTGAAAAACAGGCTTTCATTATCGTCCATAGTGCATTGAGGATATAACATCCAGTCCATCTCCTAATGCGCGATTGTTAGGATCCGTATCATCCTCCAGAAGACGGATGCTTTTTACGTATGAGAGTCTCGATGGTCTTTTCCCCGTTCTGATCTTCTTGAACGAATTCGTGACGTTTTTGATCATCAGCTAAATTCATCAAAAATTAGTACAGTTTCGA